CTTCAACTCAAGGCGAGCGCTCTACCACTTGAGCTACAGCGCCACTTCCGGTTTTCTGGTGGTTTATTGGAGATAGGAGTCTCACGGTCTCTCCTGCCTGGGCTGGCTTTGAACCACGATCCTCAGATCTCAGCCTCCTGAGTAGCTAGGATTACAGGTGTGAGCCACCAGCGCCCGGCTATAGGAGTCTTATAAATTTGTCATCCCAAGGTTTGTTCCAATCCTTGATTCTCAGATCTCAGGCTCCTCAGTAGCTGGTTTTCATATCTTTCTGCTCTACTTTTTGTGTTAGATTTTTTTTCTGTAAATCTGGCTGAAAGCAGCCAGGAAAAGCAGTGCCACAGCCTGAATGCTGGGCTGCCTTGAAATTTCTTCAGCCAGATTAATTAATCCATTGCCCTTAAACTCAGTTTCACACAAAGTCTTAATTCCCAATAGTGTCCTTTTGCCTATCCTTTTTTTTTTTTTTTGGTCGGTCATGGGGCTTGAACTCTGGGCCTGGGCACTGTCTCTGAGCTCTTCAGCTCTACCACTTGAGCCACAGTGCCACTTCCTGTTTTCTGGTGACTAATTAGAAATAAGAGTCTCATGGACTTTCCTGCCCTGTCTGGCTTTGAGCTGTGATCCTCAGATCTCAGCTTCCTGAGTAGATAGGATTACAGGTGTGAGCCACCAGTGCTAGGCTTGAGCATAATCTTATTCCAATTTTTTTTCAAAAATTTTTTTTGGTCGGTGATGGGGCTTGAACTCTGGGCCTGGGTGCTGTCCCTCAGCAATTCAGATGAGCATAATCTTTACTGTCATATTTTTACTTTTATATTTTTAAAGGGAAGAGTTGTCATTTTTATGATAATAAAAGGAAAGTTGCAGTAAACATTGATACAAAATTTCAAGAACCTTGTTTTGTATTTTTGCTGCTTCTAGGGTTTGAAATCAGGGCCTGGACATTGCCTCTGAGATTTTTGCTTAGCAGTGCTTGAGCCACACCTCCACTTCTGCCTTTTTTGGTGGTTAATTGGAGATAAGAATCTGATGGAGTTTCCTGCTAAGGCTGGCTTTTGAACCTCAATCCTCAGACTCGGCTTCTGGGTCGCTACCCAGCTGCAAGCAAGAATTGCATAAGAAAATACTGTGATAGAATTTTTTTTAAAAACAGGCTTTAGAAACAATTTTATGTCTTTTAAAGCCATTTAGAAATAGCTACCTAGGATTTCTCCTACAATACTTCTTTACTTACGTCCTACTCAGTGTCTGCCCCTGTTATTCAGTGTCTTCTCTGGCAGTATCCTAATGCAGACTAGCCACTGGAGATAGCAGTCTCCTTTTCCTTAAATGCTACTCTGTGTGAACTGCAGGTTAGGTTGCTACTTTGCTCAGGAAGACTCCTGTCTTCACTAAACGGATGAATTCAGATCTTTGGGATATCCAAAAACTCCAATGCATCAGTATTACAACATATTCTTTTCTAAGACTGGAATTCATTTTTTTAAATTTTATTTTCTTGTAAAGATGTGGTACAGAGGGATTACAGTTACATCAGTAAGGTAATGAGTACATTTCTTTCTTTCTTTTTTTTTTTTTGGTCGGTTGTGGGGCCTGAACTCTGGGCCTGGGCGCTGTCCCTCAGCTCTTCAGCTCAAGGCTAGAACCCTACCACTTGAGCCATAGCCTCACTTCCAGCTTTTTCTGCATATGTGGTGCTGAGGAATCGAATCCAGGGCCTCATGCATGCAACGCAAGCGCTCTAACACTGAGCCACCTTCCCAGCCTAATGAGTACATTTCTTGTTGAGCAGTGTTACCCCCTCCTTTGTTTTTCTCCTGCTGTCACACCTCTCCCACTTCTCCCTCCCATGGAATTTACTTTTTATGTAAGAGTTATGATTAATAAGTTTTTTATTGTGAAAATGCTGTACAGAGGGACTACAATTACACAAGCAAGGTAATGAGTATATTTCTTATCAAGCATTGTTGCCTTATCCTTTTTGTTTTTCTCCTACCATCTCTGCCCTCCCATCTCCATCACTACCCCCACCAAAGTTGTAAAGTTCGTTTTCGACATAGCATCTTGTACATCTCATTGTTGCAATGGGTCCACCTGTATGCCTATTTAAACAATTTGTTTTTTCCCTTCCCCTCCCCAAATTACACCAATATCAAATACAGTGAAAACAGGGGTTATACCATGGGAAAAGAGTTTTTAAGAACTAGTTTTTATTTGCAGCTGTTTTCTGTAATTTTGTAAACAGTTCTTCTTTAGAAAATGTCTTTATAATAGAGCAAATCTAGCAGATATATTGAGGATGAATGCTGTTTTCCTGATTTTCTTTTTAATTATTGTTAATGAATTTAGGAGAAGCTGGCTCTTCGACAACAGCTGATTGAAGCCAAACAGCAGCTCCTACAACAGGCCGAGTATTGTACAGAAATGGGAGCGGCCGCCTGCACCCTCCTGTGGGGTGTCTCCAGCAGCGAGGAAGTTGTCAAAGCCATCCTGGCTGGAGTAAGTGTGACCAGTGGCTCTCTGGATGCTGTCTAGTGTGCTTAAGGAGACTTTCTGTCTCCTAAGACATCTAGAGACTGCTACCCCTTGGGTTTTAGTTCACTTATTAGACTGTCATCAAATGCCTCCTGTGGTCACCTAGAGGGGTGAACCTGGTGCTCTGAGGATATGTAAAATGAACGGAATGGAATATTGTCACCTTTTCCCTAGCATTCATGGCTATTTGTTGATATATTAACCCCGTCAGTGATAACTTTATTCATAAAGAGAGTGATGAAGTTTAAAGTGCTTATATATATATATATATATATATATATATATATATATATATTATCTCTTGGGAAATGAATATTTATTGTATGTTTTGATTGGTCATGGAACTTGAACTCAGGACGTGGGCCCTGTCCCTGAGCTTTTATGCTTTACCACTTTGAGCCATAGCTCTACTTCCGGTTTGTAGGTTGTTCATTGGAGATTAAGAGTCTCATGGCCTTTTCCTCACAGGCTAGTGTCAAGCTGAAATCCTCAGACTCAGCCTCCTGAGTAGCTAGGATTATAGGCATGAGCTATATCAGTGCCTAACTTGTGCAGGTTATTTTTGAGATAGGGTCTCACTTCCTGGGTGTGTGCCTGGACTGTGATCTGCCCAGTTTGGCCATGAAGACAGACTCTTGCCATCGAGGCCAGCTTTTTCCTGTGTGCTAGGGTCTGCGTGGGCTGCCCTTGAACTGTGATTCTACATCTCTCAGCCTCCCAAGTAGCCAGGATGAGAGGGGTGAACACAGTACCCACTTTCAGTGAGAACTTTTAATATGGAGGAAGAGATTTAAAAATACTACTTCTGTAATTAAACCAAAATCAGTCTTGTTGTATGTCTTGGAGTTTTTTTTGTTTGTTTGTTTTTGTCCATTGTGGGGCTTGGACTCTGGGCCTGGGCTGTGTCCCTGAACTCTTCAGCTTGAGCCACAGCACCACTTTGGTTTTCTGGTAGTTAAGTAGAGATAAGAATCTCCCTTCCTTCCTTCCTTACTTGCTTCCTTGCTTCCTTCCCTTCCTTCTCTCTCTTTCTTTTCTTTCTCTCCTTCCTTCCTTCCTTCCTTCCTTCCTTCCTTCCTTCCTTCCTTCCCTCTCTCTCCCTCTCTCCCTCTCTTCCCAAAAAAAAAATTAAAAAAAAACAAGAATCTCATGGATGTTCCTGCCCTGGCTGGCTTTGAACAGTGATCCTCAAAAGTCACTTCCTGAGTAGATTATAGGTGTTAGCCACTGGCACCTGGCACTTCTGTTTGTTTTTTTTTTAATGCCAGTATTGGGGCTTGAACTTAGGGCCTTAGGCACTGCTCCTGAATGTTTTTTCTCAAGGCTGGCACTTTGGCACTTGAGCCACAGGTCTTCTTCTAGCTTTTTTTTTTTTTAATGGTTAATTGAAGATTAGAGTATGACAGACTTTCCTCTCCATGTTGGCTTTGAACTGCAATCCTTCTTAGGTACAGGATTATTTGTATCCTGAACTTCTTCAATGTTTTTACATTGGTATCTGTGAAAAAGTATGACACCGTGTCAATCTTTTTGACAGGAAAAGGCTCTGAAGTTCTTCAGAATCACCGGTCAGACAATGGAGAGTTTTGTGAAGTCATTGGATGGCGATGTTAAAGAGCTGGATTCTGACGAAAATCAGTTTGTTTTTGCACTGGCTGGAATTGTAACAAGTAAGTTATTATTTTCAAATGTAGTGACTTTTACATGGGTTCGTAGTTACAGTTACCGTGTGTGAAGACAGCTCTAAGGAATGCTTTTGGATACCCATGCTGAGCCTGTACCCTGGAGATTGACTGCAGAGGTGAGATTGATACCTGTGTGTGAGATAAGTCTCATGGACTTTTCTGTCTAGGCTGGCTTTAGACATGATCCCCAGATGGCAGCCTCCTAAGTAGCTAGGATTAAAGGTATGAGCCACCAGCAAACTGCTGGTTTTTGTTCATTTGTTTTTCCTCTTGCCAGTTCTGGGTCTTGAACTCAGGGGGCCCTGGCACTTTCTCTGAGCTGCTGCTTCTTCTTTTTTTTTTGTTGGTCGTGAGGCTTGAGCTCTGGGCCTAGGCGCTGTACCTCAGCTCTTCAGCTCAAGGCCAGTGCTCTACCACTTGAGCCACAGTGCCACTTCTGGTTTTCTGGTGGTTAATTGGAATAAGTCTTATGGCCTTTCCTGCCCAGGCAGGCTTTGAACTGCAATCTTCAGAGCTCAGGCTCTTGAGTAGCTAGGATTATAGGCATGAGCTACCGGCACCCCTGGAAAAAGCTCATCTTAACAGAAAATTAAGCTAATCTTTTGTCATTGTATGGTGAATGATAACAAAGTCAATTCTTCAGGCCAAGATATCAAAATTAAAGTCTCTATGATATAAAACAAATAAGAACAAATATTGGCAGGTTGACAAATACTGCTCTCTCTGTGTAGGAGTTGATTTGCACTCATTTAAAACTATAGTTTGGATTTTAGTTACTGCTACTTAGTGAATGGTACCATGGCATTTTTTGTAATAGTAGCAGATCTATGATGCAAGACCTCATTGCTTAATAGTTTTCTGTGCTGGGGCATGTTGCCTGCTATGGACAGTATGGGTTAGCTCACAAGTCTGCAGTTGGACAAGAACTTGGGAGGCAACTTGCTGCTGTCCTGCAGCACCTGTGGTGGCCTCCGTGGGGAGGACCACAAGTGTGAGGGACGGAACAGCCTGGGGGCAGGAGGAGCACCAGAGTTGTGAGGGATAGAACACTGCAGGGAGCACCTCATTGTGAGGGATAGAACTGCAGGGAGCACCTCATTGTGAGGGATAGAACAGTGCAGGGAGCACCTCACTGTGAGGGATAGAACACTGCAGGGAGCACCTCATTGTGAGGAATAGAACAGTGCAGGAAGCACCTCATTGTGAGGGACAGAACAGTGCAGGGAGCACCTCATTGTGAGGGACAGAACGTGCAGGGAGCACCTCATTGTGAGGGACAGAACTGCAGGAAGCACCTCACTGTGAGGGATAGAACACTGCAGGAAGCACCTCACTGTGAGGGATAGAACAGTGCAGGGAGCACCTCACTGTGAGGGATAGAACACTGCAGGAAGCACCTCACTGTGAGGGATAGAACAGTGCAGGGAGCACCTCATTGTGAGGGATAGAACAGTGCAGGGAGGACCTCATTGTGAGGAATAGAACACTGCAGGGAGCACCTCATTGTGAGGGATAGAACACTGCAGGGAGCACCTCATTGTGAGGGATAGAACACTGCAGGAAGCACCTCATTGTGAGGGACAGAACACTGCAGGGAGCACCTCATTGTGAGGGATAGAACACTGCAGGGAGCACCTCATTGTGAGGGACAGAACACTGCAGGAAACACCTCATTGTGAGGGACAGAACACTGCAGGAAGCACCTCATTGTGAGGGATAGAACACTGCAGGGAGCACCTCATTGTGAGGGATAGAACACTGCAGGAAGCACCTCATTGTGAGGGACAGAACAGTGCAGGGAGCACCTCATTGTGAGGGACAGAACACTGCAGGAAGCACCTCATTGTGAGGGATAGAACACTGCAGGGAGCACCTCATTGTGAGGGATAGAACACTGCAGGAAGCACCTCATTGTGAGGGACAGAACAGTGCAGGGAGCACCTCACTGTGAGGGATAGAACAGTGCAGGAGCACCCCATTGTGAGGGATAGAACACTGCAGGGAGCACCTCATTGTGAGGAATAGAACAGTGCAGGGAGCACCTCATTGTGAGGGATAGAACTGCAGGGAGCACCTCATTGTGAGGGATAGAACTGCAGGAAGCACCTCATTGTGAGGGATAGAACACTGCAGGGAGCACCTCATTGTGAGGGACAGAACACTGCAGGAAGCACCTCATTGTGAGGGATAGAACTGCAGGGAGCACCTCATTGTGAGGGATAGAACAGTGCAGGGAGCACCTCACTGTGAGGGATAGAACACTG